CGCGCCGTTGGGTACTCGAGTTCCGAATCAACACAACCCTTTCCAGACGAAAGCACCTGGTTTTTCTGCGCTGTCTAGCGCGGAGAAAAACTTCGTTGCCTCTGTATTGTAGCAGGCGGTTTTCTACCGTGAGCACGCATGCATGCGCTTTCTCGCGGATTTTCTTCTCCATATTTTTCTCTCTGTGTATTGCCACGCTGAGGGCAACCCCATGTGGTCGTCCATCCAGGCCCTCCCCTCCCCTTGTGTTGCTGTGCGATTCCTTCAAGTATTATGCATGATGCTCATTCTCGCGGCGCAACATCTTATTCCTCTCTCGTGCGAACCCCCCCGCATGTACCCATCCATCCATCTGCCCACGGTCCTGTTAGTTCAGATGCTCCAGCCTCCTTCGCCGGGTCTGCCCACAGAATCTGCTGTGACTTCTGCACCCCCACCACTAACAGCAGCAGTAAGTAGTAGGCGTCAAGCGCCACCCCGCTTGCTGTTTTCGTCGTCGTCGCATTGAAAACCATTTCAATCTCTCTCTTTCCAGTACCTCCCTCTGTCCGTACTGATCCAACTCTTGATGTGGTCGATTCCTCCCGTGATATCAGGCGAACTTACCCTGCGGAACGTGTTCTCAATATTTGAGCTTGGGGCCTATGAAAATCAGACCACCGAGTGTCATTGTGAGCTGCACGCGTGTATGCTTTTTTCGGGGAACTGTTCGTAGGTAGTTGCGTGCTTTGTTTCTCGCTCGCCGCCTCGATGCACTCTCTCTCATCAAAAGTTCGGGTACCGAACTTATGTGATCTCAAATAATTTTCTCCTATCAGCTACCGACGGGATAACCTACGCGTTGGACTACGAGTGATCATCGCCTCTCCCCGTCCCATCGTATGGTTTTCTCGTCCGTTTCTCTTCCCTTTCGTCGTTTCGACAGGCGGTCAACAATAGCAAGTACCTGTGGCGGGCCACCGGGCGGGGGAGATGACCGCCATCACGCTTCCGAACCCCAAGTCTCGCAAGAAATCTTCTTCATTGTTTTTTGACGTCCGTTCGGCAGAATGACTTTTTGTCTGCATGTGATGGAAACAGGGGTTGTGAGCGCCTGACAGCAGTGTTGATGAGATTTTGAGCCGTGAAGGTGTAAATGCAACATCTGCATGTAGATAGGAGCGGGGTTTTCGAGGGCCTGAAACCAACTTTGATGCAATTTTTGCGTTGGGAAGGTGGAATGCCGCAGGACATGCGGTGTTGCCGTACATGGTGGTGCACGTTTGGGGTGACATCGTAATCATATGCGAGAAGACGTGAGGTCCTGTTTCGGTGATCCTACATCGAAGCAAGCGCTCCATCCAACGGGTTTGCGTAGTAGAGTGTGTCTGTCTCCCTACCTGAAGCGCAAGATGAAGTGACCCCCCTACCGTCGCATCACTTGGTTGATGGGGTAGGGACGCATCGCAGTTCACTTTTCCCCGAGCTTGGGTGGAAGTACGAGATGGATCGCCTGCCTCTTCAGCCTATCCATGTGTCGTTTGGCTTTGTTTGCGTTCGGGAGGGCATCGACCGCATTCTGTTGCCGTGGCGTGGCGAGCATTCGTTTCGGCAGGGTAGGTATCCAATTTTCAGGGCGATTGCATGGTGTTTGTGTGTTGTTGAGCTTGTTGGCGATGAATTGGGTGTTCCTGGTTTCGTGGGGGCGGATTGGCGATCGTACATCTCGCACCAAGATTGGCGATCGTATGCTCACGTCTCGCACCAAGTTCAAGCTCTTTGCCTGTCTGCGTCTGTAATACTTGGAGGGCACTTACAATACGTTTAGCCTCCCGGTGCGTCTGAAGTATACGTTTAGCCTCGTGAGGTTCACGTTGTGCATGGAAGCAGGGTGCGTGTTTCGCCTGACGAAGTGGAGTGCGTTTGACGATGTGACGCGAGTGGACCCCTGATAAGTGGGATAGCACCCATGTTTTCTAATAGCTTCGTGACGACGATAGTTTGATATTTTTTTCGTGCCGTCACTTTTTCGTGGAAATACCATTGCACCCATGGACACGTATTCGACCCTCAGAGGCTTCAATCCTTCCATGTTTCTTCTCTCATTGTTCTAGTGTAAAAATTTTCACCTCATGACAACTTCGGCCAAAAATATCGACATGAGGGGGTGGACGGGTGAAGAGAGACACGCGCATGCGTCCTCCGCATGCACTGCCGCATTGCAACATAATTAGTCCCCCTCGAGGGACAGAGAGAGAGAGACAGTCACTACCCCGAGCTCACATTGCGCGATATTACTTCATGATATCACGTCGAGCTTTTCTCCTGCTAACCACTCGTCTAATGGACGCTGGCGAGGGGGAAACGGGAAGGGGGGGGGGGGGCTAGACGAGGCTGTGGCTCCCCGGGGGATCCATACGACGTACGCCACGGGCCCACATCTCAGAAACATTTTGCAAATAATCACATGCTCGAAATATTACGAAAAAGGAGAAAATGGTACTCAGCTCAGCCGTGGACCCTTAATACTAAATAAACTCCACGTTGCAGCCCGGGGTCGACAGTGGCTACGAAGTACGAAGCTTGACCGTCGACCCGATTTTTGACGTTTGTTTCCTATNGGGGGGGGGGGTGCTAGACGAGGCTGTGGCTCCCCGGGGGATCCATACGACGTACGCCACGGGCCCACATCTCAGAAACATTTTGCAAATAATCACATGCTCGAAATATTACGAAAAAGGAGAAAATGGTACTCAGCTCAGCCGTGGACCCTTAATACTAAATAAACTCCACGTTGCAGCCCGGGGTCGACAGTGGCTACGAAGTACGAAGCTTGACCGTCGACCCGATTTTTGACGTTTGTTTCCTATCATCTCCGCGCCCCTGCTGTATTGGCAATGAATCGGGCGGCGGCCGCGAGGTCCGCGGACGTCATGCGCTTCCGTCTTCAAAACCAGGCGAAAAGATGTGTCTGGTGTTGTGAGCCTCGTACTTTGCTTCGTACAAGAGACATAGCCTAAACTATCGCCGAAAAACGAATACCGCCGAAACTACCGCCGTATTGCATTATTGCGGCCGAAGGCTCCTACAGGTATGTATGCGGCGCTCAATGTTCGAGCTTCCAGAGCCAGCCTAGCGGTAGCTGTCATTGGAGAGGAAGCGAGCATGTGCGGTGTATTTACCCTACATACCTTGTACTTCAATGCAATAGTCCACCAACACCTCAAAGCCAAGGCCGGTTTAATGATTACACCTGGGTTGTCGACGCACAAGAAACGATGTGGAGTACTTCGTCAGCGACGACATTTGGACTGCAGTCAGTCGTTTTTGTGCGACCTGGGTGTGGACGTACGTAACCTTGCCCGCAACACCTGCTGTCCGAAATAGACGAGGACACTAGGGAAGGCCTTGGCGCCAGTGGGGAGATGAAGATGGGAAACCACGACGCTTGATAGAGATGAAATGCCAGCAACGCTTGCTTGTGAGGGAGTTTGACAGACTGGAGCTTCCGTTTACGGAGACAGTACTATTTTTATTTCGTTTTTATTTATTTTTCTCCCATCATTGGACTCTGTTCGTCTGCCCCTCTGGCCCCTATCCTCAACTTCTACCAGCTAGACGATCCAACCGGGGTCACATAGGAGGGGGGGGTTGGACCCCCTCCTGCGGTTCCTGCCTGAGATATTTTCATCGCGAGAAGGGTACAGCAATCCCTTCCCTCGCGACATACGAAGTCGATCAAGTTAACTAACAACGAGCTTTGCAGCGCGTCGCTTCCAACGGAGACCAGGATTTAATTCGCGAGAAAAACTCACTCGGTATGTGAAGGGGCGGCGGGAGTGATGCCACGGTTGGGGGGGCACCTCACCTTACACTTTTGGGCAGGAAGACACACTCTCGTCAAACCAATCGATTGGATGCAACGTACCGATGGATGCATAGGATCACCAAAACAGAATGACTCGTTATTCTCCAAAAAGAAGAATGGTGTCATTCACTCCAGGCATCACTCATCGTTCTTGTGTTTCTAACAGGGGAATGTCAGGAAAAATCGTGCGTCGAGACCACCAGCAGTCGGACACGGTTTGACCTTTGAATACGATTGCAGCAAATAGTCTGCGTAACAGTAGAAAATAATACATCTCTCCGTGGCATGTATTCTTTTGTTCTAGAAATATTCCGGAAGCATGCTAGGTCAAGGTCGACCGGGACATTTTCGTAGAACGTGTGTAGCTTCTGGAAACCTTCTGGAACCTCCTGGAACCTTCTGTAAGCTTCTGGAAGCGTTCTAGCCCTAGGTTGCACTTGATACTTTTCTAAAACGTAGGAGAGCTTCCAGAATCATCCAGGAAACAGTCTAGATCCTTCGTGTGATTGGCTTATTTGTCCGGTATTCGAGGAGATTGGTGCAGCCCTAAGCTCGCCACCCCTCTCACTCCTCTTCAGTACCAGCAACCTCAATCTTACTCGGTAGTCAGCAATTAACAAAAACATCTTCATATTTCCATTCCAAGCCTCTCGCGGTCGGAGCCGCACAGAGTGTGAACCTCTGAGGTAGACTACACAGCCTCCTGGTATCTGCAGCATCGTACTGCTGCTAGTGCACGGCGAAACTACGCTGACAGGTTATGAGCCTCGACTAATGCACACACTACGAGCTGTGAGCATCACGGGAAGGAAGATCAAGGCAACCTCCTCTTGGGACATCAGCCCTCATTCGTGGACAACGAGAGAACGTGGTTTCGGAGATTTCTGGAGATTGCGACGCCGGCATCGGTCAACGGCACCACAAGCAAACGCGCAAACTTGGTCATCTACACCAAGGTGCTGAGAGTTCACGTTGTATACACACGTTACCACCGCTGCGGCAGCAGTGGGTACCTCTGTGGTGAACTAGCAGCAAGGGTCATGTGCGCGGGAGTCTCGAGCGGCATACGCATCGGGTGTGTAAGGAACTATACTGTATCATCAGTGGAGGCGTTCAGCAACCGGAGTCCTCTATATCAGTAGCAGGAGCGGGATCGGAAACAAGAAAACCACAACCGGAGTCCTCTAGATCAGTAGCACGAAGGGGGTGGGGAAGTCTCGGGTACAGGCAGTAGTACCACGATCAGACTACTCCTGCAGCAGGAAGTACTTTTATCAAGACGAAGAAAATATAGGTGGAACGAGCAATGGAGACCGCAACGAGCAACACAGGAGGTGGAAGCGCGTTCGCCAGCGATAGTTCTACAAACCTGGCAACCGTGATCAAAGGCCTCAAGAAATTCGACGGAAAGGAGCCAGCTGAGTTCAAGACATGGATGAAGAAATTCTGCGTGGTGTTAGGAGTGACCAGAAAGGACATCCTGTCACTGCTAAAGAAAAAAGGAAGCCAGATCCCGCAGACACAGCGGCCTTCGACTCCTACACAAGGGCAAACGAAGATCTCTACGCCATTCTTTTCCTCCTAGTGGAACTTCCAGCCGCCTTGTCGATACAGAAGCACGAAGACGACACTGGCATCAGCGGCGACGGACAAGCTGCCTTCGAGGAGCTCTGCAACAACTATGACAGGGTAACGGACGAGGTCATCAGGGCCAAGATGGAGGAGCTGGAGAACAACCCCATGAACCCTGGTGAAAATCCCGACGACTACTTCAACCAGAAGCACCTAATTCGCGCCCAGCTGGATAAGATGGGAGAACCCATCTCCGACCGCCGCTGCAAGGACATCTGGGTACAGGGCTTCTCCGACGAATATAGGGACGTCAAACTGATGGTGTTCAGGGACCCAACCTTCAACGCCCTGGGCATGCAATCCACCATTCGCAACACTTCTTGGACGAACGAACAATCGCGCAAGGGATGGAAGGGACGCATAGCTGGTCGAGGATTTGCCATGGCAACGACCGCGTCTGACATCATCTGCCACAGCTGCTACGAGCCGGGGCACATCAGGAGGAACTGCCCCAAGATCAAGAACAGGGCGAAGAAGAAAACGAAGCCCGCCGGAGCTACCAAGTGGTGCTGCAAGCACAACACCACGTCTCACTCGGATGAGGAATGCTACCAACAAGGAGGAAAGCGCCCGGAAGACACCAAGGACTCAAGTAAAGCATTCACCGCGTGCTCCGACTGCACTCACTGCTCGTCGGCGCCCAACAAGAACGACTCAAACAATGAAGTGGCAGTTGCCGACTTCACCCGGGACGAAGACGCCTTCGACAGCGGCTTCATGTTCGGCACGTGTTCCCGCATCTCAGAACGCAACTTCGCCGCGAGCTCCACCGGGAGCATTCTGCTGGTAGATACGGGAGCATCGGAGACCATGTTTGACAATCGCCTCATCCCCGACGGAAACCTTCACGATTACACCCAGCGAAACTCTCCAAAGATCGTCGACGTGGCCGGAGAAAGCCTGTTCGTGATAGTTGCTGCTGTGTGTGTCGACAGAGTGACATAGAACAACTTGATCGGACAGTTTGCATTGCTCGACTGTCTGCGTTGAAGATCGTTGAGTAGCCACATATTATCAGCACAGCAAGGAACGTTCTGTGGGAATGTTCTTCGTGGATGGTGCATTACCCCGAGTGTGTTGCTTGTGGAAAGTGCATCAGTCAGGGGATTCATGGTACGTTGTGGAGTACGTTAGCCCCTGTCTGTTGAGTCTTTGTGTTCCGATATCATTGTGTTCTGCTTTTGTGCGTTGGTCGAGCGACACGTGGGTGGTGGCTGCGGTGGTGCGGTGCTGTGGTGCTCCCCACCCTTGCTCACTTCACCATTTGACCTGTCCTCCTGGTCCAAGGTCTCAACAGTACAACATATCTTCCCCAGAAGCCACGAGTTTACCAACACGCTATAGCGAACCAGTCGACTGCCGCTTGTCCCCTCGGACTGTGCGTCAAGACTGAACGGAGGAAGATTGATCACCTTGCTTCGTGATGACCGGGCCTGCTGGGGATCATGTGGATGGCCCATCTCCGGGTGATTCGCAAGGATGTTATTGGTGGTGAGAGATTGGATTCGATTGAGACACAGTTGTCGCAGCTCACGAGAATAATCAAGTCGCTTGTTGGGCAACGAGGTGATCAGGTGGAGTCTGTTCCAGTAGCTGCTGCAGCATCCGGAGGCGGCGGAACAGAGTACGCTGGTGCACATCAATCGGATGCCACTGGCAGGACTGCGGGAGGTACGGGCAGCAGTGCCCAAGTCCTTGGCATGCCCAGCATGTGGGTTGGGAGTAGTAGTCTTGCAGACTCAGGCTCGAACCTTCGTGCAATTGTTGTATGTCGTTCCCCTGTGGTGGTACTGCCAGCGGCGGAACCGACGCCGGTTGGCATCCTGTGGATGCTACTGGCAGGACTGCGGGAGGTACGGACAGTAGTGCCCAAGGCCTTGGCATGTCCAGCGTGAGAGTTGGGAGTAGTAGTGTTGCAAACACAGGCTTGAATCCTCACGATACTGCTGTTAACCGTTCCTCTGCTGGTGTCACAAGCTTTGGTTCGGTTGGGATGGGAAGTAGGGCTATTGGTAGTCAGTCTTTCATTCCAAGAATAGGTAGTGGGGCTTTCAGTAGCCAGTCTTCTATTCCACCCACACCTAGACTACTGCTTCGAGTAGGTGGTGGTAAAATCTCGCCAGTGGAACCACATTGATTCCTAGGGCCGGCATTTCAGACACAGGAGAGAAGTTGGGTAGGAGCCCTTTTATTAAAGTTCCCATAGCTCCTGTTGTTTTGATGAGACTGTGATGTTGTCTCGTATCCGTTGTGGTCAAAACATTTTCTGCTGGGTGCCTTTGAAACCGGCTTACTGTAGGTAGCAACGACCGTCTAAGCTGCTGCCGAAGGGTGAGGCTTGCTTTTATGTCGGTCCTTCGAGAGACCACCCGCGTGACTGTCGTAAGAGTATTTACGAGGGTTGGCACTATTCAGGAAACGAGGAATGTGACGTGGGAAGCGTTGCCGTTACAACTCCCTCCACCGCAACCGTCTCTCTTGCCGATTGAGGTCGCAGAGGAGGGAGGGGAGGAACGTGACGACGATGTAGAAGCTGAGGTATGGCCGCTTTTAG